CAATAAGATTACAAAACCTACTCAAAAGAATTGCCTCAATAACTTTAGAAAGTGTATTAGCAAGTGCAATAGGTCTGTAATTATCAGAGCTGCCCACTTTTCCTGCTTTATCCTTCACCACAGGGACTAAAAGCACTGTCATCAAGGAGTCAGGCAAAAACACATGTATAATACAAGACGTAAAACATATAGCTAAAAGAGGAGCCAACCTCAAACTAGCATACTTAAGGTGTTCTACAGAAATACGATCCGGCCCAGTGGACCTATTTGCAGACAAATTATTTATCGCTCGAGAAACTTCACAGGTTTTTAACAGTTTCAACAAAATCAACCCTGCTTACAGGGAAGACTTCACTGGGAACACAGTTAAATAAATTGCAATAATGGAGCTGCCAAAGCTCAGCTAGCTCAAACAAAACTACAAACACACACTATTTTGCTCTAGATGGAACAAGCTAATGCCTGATAAGCTACTGTGTGTTGTATCAGCATCCATTCAAATTCCATGTAGTATTATGTACTTATTTATTTTCACCATAATAAGGAAATGCCTCTAATGGTGCTGACGCGGGGAAGTGCAGCTTCTTCTCACAGCAGGTGATAGCAGGTGTAACTGAAAACAAGAATGATGCCTCTGTTCCAAGACGTAAACCAGAGCATACACAATAGGGCTGTGTATGAACTCAGTAGTATAGTGCACTATATTCAGTGTTTTATTTGTTTGTTTTTATTTGCTTTATTTATGCACTGTAAAGTGTCCTCAAAAATTCCCACACAAAGAGAGCAGTATTCATGTCATGTACGTAAGTTTCTACCAGCAATCCTACCGTGCAGTGCACTGCATGATACAGACACAAAACATAATGCAAAATGGCAAAGCTTAATAAATGTTAGTGATCTTAATTTATTGCTGACTATAGTGTAAACAGCAGGCTGTCTATTATACAGGGAACGGTGAATGTGTGAATGGGAGGTGGGTGGGTGGGGGCTTGACACAATCTTTATTACAGTATGGAATGGAATTCAGACATCATCATTCATTTAATTATTTTTATTTACACTTGTTCATTTCCTGTTGTGTGTATGCTGGTTCAGTTGCACAGATGCAGAGTGATACATAGATAGATAGATAGATAGATAGATAGATAGATAGATAGATAGATAGATAGATAGATAGATAGATAGATGCAAACATTATTAATGCTATTAGTCGCATATAAGTTTGGGTGGTAATGACAAACATCTGAAAGTAATGATTGTTTTAACGCCATCTAGTATGTACTGTAGATAAAACGTTTGGTGATGTAATAGTTCCTCTTGATCATACTGGCCAAAAGGAGAGTCCCTTTTCAGGCAATAATAATAATGATAATCACCTTTATTGGCCAAGTATGTTACACACAAGGAATTTGTTTCCGGTACAGAACTGAGGCAGCCATCTGTGGCGCCAACTCAGCCAATGGCTATAACTATCAGTGTCTTGCCCAAGGACACTTTGACACGTGGACTGCAGGCACCGAGATTCGAACCTTCAACCTTCTGGTTGGGAGACAACTGCTCTACCCACTGAATCACTGTTGCCTCCCCCACATCACAATGTAAATGAAGGGAGACAAGAGCCACAGTGTTTGTTCTGTGTAAAAGAGCTGCAAAAATGTGAACAGCAAATCTTTCATGTTTAATGCAATTAGGATGCTGAATGTATAGCAGTACTTTGATCTAGACCTTCTCCTGTTTTATACAATTTAATTTTAATGTATATGTACTTTTACATTTTCATGTATTTAAATCATTTTGTTTATTCATACCCTGCATAGGTTAAATCACGATCTTTCAAAGTTGTTCCTGTGTATTTTTACCTCAGTATTTCATCCTTGTGTCTGTCTTCCTCCACCACAGCTCAACAAAGAAACTCTTGAAGCAATCAGAGGGAATTATTAAGGTAACTTTGAAAGATCGCTACTGCTGCTCTTCCTGTTTCCATGCACCTCAAAGATAAGGCCAGTGGTTTTCTATTTGATTTGATATTTTTCACATATCACAACCAAAGACTAAAACCAACAACAAAACCTATGGCTTAGTTCAAGAGCTCCAAATGATGAAAATACCCATTATTTTGTACAACTGCCCATGTACACGATTCTGCTCTGTTTGCACTATTCCATTAGCTTTTTGCTTGACACATAACATGCGAGTGCCCCATGCATTTTGTGAGGAAGAAACATGCCACCCAGTGCAGTGGTGTGGCTTGTTGATGTGTTTTTATTAGTTTCTGGACAACAATGGAGGTCTGTGGCACAGACTGGTAAGCTAACCTAGGGTCTGGATTCATAAACGTTGCAGTGAGCACACCAAATCTATTGCTGGTTTTAGTCTCTGTATGGGATTTGTGTAAAATAACAAAAATATAGAAAATCATCAGCCTCATCCTTCAAGGTATAACTCAAAAACAAATGCTAGATTCTGAAAACACTGTCTACACACAGCCTATAGAAGAACTGAGCATGCTCTGAGGACCAGCGACCACCCATGTTCAACTATTGTGACCATGGTCTTTGAACAGGGTTGCCTTTCTAAGTCTGGCCAATATTCGATTATGTCTTAAACACTGTCAGAATGGAACCCCCATAGGGCTGGCTTCAGACCGCGATAGGACATCATGTCCAAGCAGCAGAGGGCTATTGGTAAGCAATCTGACCAGTAATCTGGGCCTTTGACGTCCCCCCAAGAGGCAGAGCTTGAGGATAATTCCTTCCTGAGAGAGAGGCAAAAGGCAAGGGCAGCACCAGGATCTCAGTTTGAGGATTTTTGCCCCCCTAGTGTGTGTTGCAATGATAGCATCCCATGGCTATATACAAGTGTGCATAATAGAGCACAATTGGGCAGCACTGAGGAAAAAGTATTTTTGGCCCCAAAACTGCATGATTTGACAAGATCCCAGTTCATTTCTATGTTCTATCAATACCTCTTGCATAGCTTTGTGAAGTACAGCCAGCGAACCAAACACCCACCTTTTAGCTATATAACCTTTATCTAATTCACGCCTATGTAAAGTTTTAAAATTACCTTGTTCAATTTAGTTTTACCCCTTGGAGTACTCATCAAGTTTTATTTACCAAACTTTTTGAAAGGATGGCAAACATTGCTATCTGCTTGATTTAACAAGAACTGAATCACATTCTTTTGGGATAAGTGCACCAACTTTGCCAAGAATTGTTAATGGATTTTCAGTGTGGTGGGAGCTGGGTGAGGCGGTGCCGGTATCCATATCACAAACACAGGGTGAGATGACTGAGGATGTGAACGGCAAGCCAGAAGTTCCACTTGAGTGCATCTGAATGCAGGATCTACCAGAGAGGAGCACACCCCGTCCCCTCCACAGTTTCAAAACCAACAACCCTAAGCTTTCTGCTCACACCTCTTTCCCCTTGCATTGCTCTCTCTTTCTCTCTCTGACCCACCCCCATCTCTTTATATGCCCAGCTGGCTGCACCACAAAGACTCTGGTCCCAGTTCCAAATGATTCCCAAACCCCCACATGCTTTGTTCTGCTCATTTTCCCACTCCCCAGAGACAGAGTTCTGCAGAAAAAAATTAAAATGAGGAAGGGACAGAAGGAGGGAGAAGACAGGGAAGAGAAAGAAATCAAAAAAGCGAGTTAGTGTGAGATTGAGAGAGTAAGCCAAGGGAACCTGTCAGATCTTCTAGCTCCAGACCTCAGGGATTGTAAAGACCTTGGGTTTGAGACTTCAAGACAGTGAGGATTTAGTGCAAACATCTTTTGCATTGACTTTGAAATATAATCTGCAGCGTAAAGTTCTCAAAAGGGCCATTTTTATTAGAAGTCAAAGAACCAAAATGTTTCTGTTAAGTCAACAGGAATATCTTTGCCAGGTGAACTCTCACCTTCAGTTTCAGCGCTCTTAAAGCCACTCAATTCTCACTGCCACTTTCTGCGGGAGCTACGATCATTTGCAGTAATCACGCGGTCAATTACAGGCAGCAAGCCCCTCCAGGTTTAAGATCCCCCACCCCACCCTGTTGAAATTCCCCAGCTCCCCAGCTTGTGTGAAATCATGCAGTGGATTGTTGTACAGAAAAAGGACCACAGTATAGCGATGTGGGCTGGAACTAATAGGATTGGTTTTGATTCATTAGATTCTCTTTCATCATCCTGGTTGGAATTCCACTCCATGTCTCCTCTGGCTTCACATGTTTAAAATGGAGGTTGGGCATGGGGTGGGGGGGGCAAGTGTTTATAATTGGGCCTCTAGACTGCAAAAGCTCATTAGTCTATAAGAAATCATCTGCTTATTCATACCCCATGGAATCAGTGTCAGGGCCATGTGAATGCTGCACTGTGTTTGTCAAAATACTGGCAACATAGTAGAGAATATGATTCAGTGGTTGGTAAAATGTAGAATAGCACAGTAGCAAAACACTGATGCATATAGCTTTTTAATGCAAATTCATGGAGAAACCTACAGCTGCGAGTTATATGGACACATTGGACAAAGTTGCAGCCCAGAACATGCTGGGCTTTAGTATTAGTTCCTCTTTATAAATAACCTTCCTGGTCCTCACTTTGACTAATGATTACAGACACACACAGACAAACAATGTCCCTTCCTACTAGCATCTAACTTACCTCAAAGGCTGAAGCAGGGGAACGAGCTAGACTGGCTCTGTCTAAAGGTAACAAACACAAACACTGTATATCAGCTGCTCTGGTGTGTTGCTGCTGTCAGGGTGTAGGAAAAAAACATGATTTTGCTTGTTATCAATGAGGTTAAGCTATGCATTTTAATAATATCATTAAAATTATCTACAGTACAGATTTATTACATCAGCGCTGTTCATCAGTCAGTCCAGCTGAAGAGACACTAATGCAATTTCAAAGTCTCAGACAGCTCTAAGTAGAATGACACATAAAATCCATTTAGGATTTTACTGAACAACTTTCCACCCCATGTTAAATGTCTGTAATGTACTGTCACTAACAACAGAACCTGTTACCTCACCTTAACAACCCTTCAATCAAGTAGTGACAGCAAGACAAATCAGTGTAGCATGATAAATATTTCATTTCTTTGCAAAAAGGTGGATGGAGTATTTCAGTGTTGGTTAAGCAGGAGTTGCTGCAGTGCTTTACATACATCAAATAAGATCAATTTATTCATCTCATGTGTTCAATGATTCAAAATATGAAGAAACAGTGTTACTGCTGGATATCAAATTTGTGCTGGTTATGCATAAACAGTCAACGGCTGGCCATCACTGTCCTGGGTCCTGCTGGTGTGGTTTGGGATGCATTCTGTAGTTTGTTTCCATATGAAGGGGGGCCTCTGGCTGTGGCCTGCTTGTCTTAGGCTGTGTACATCAGTGATTCAGTCCAGGTGCCAACTCCAACCCTGGCAGCTCTAGTGTGTTCTTAAGACCCTGGCATAGACTGGCTCCAGAAAATGAAAGGGGAGCAGCATGAAGAAGGCCACAAGAAAGACTGTGCCCACCACTGCCAGCAGCACATAACGGCTGATGAACAAAGTGTCCACTATCTGTACAGTGAAAAAAGAGTGTTAGGAGTTCCCCATAATTACAAATGGTAGCATGTCTACTTAGATAGCAGTGCATAGGAAACATACTGTTCACTGTTCATAAATTCGGTATTTCCTCTATTAGCCACTAGATGTCAGAAGAGAGCTTTCACAAATTCTGTATAAGCAGAGCAATATTGTGGCAGTATGTGAGGTCATGAATGGCCATTTTACATACTGACAGGTAGATACACACACAGAAATAATCTACTATTACTTGTTCATTCAAAAAGTTGTTCTGCTTTAACTGTGTTTTCCTTATTGTTACTTCATACATGTTATTGGATGCATGAGTTGTACTGTGCAGAATGATGCTGTGCAGAGTTTGACACTGTTAGACTGTTTCCTCATTCATCTACTGATTAGGGAAAGTTTCTCTGTGCACACTTTATACCTCAGTTTAACATGCAGACATACCCGCTCTGTGACACCACTGCTGGATTCAACAAGTGTGATTTGGAGTTATCAGCTTTCATTAAGTGTGTGCTGACTGCAAGCATGTCATGACCTGACTGTATCAAAGATGGCTACACGTTGTGACTGTAATGGCTACTGATTTGTACAAATGTGTGACGGGTAAGCTGAGGGAATAAGCAGTGTATTGGTTTCACTGCTGAAACTGAATTCTGATTTGAGAGTTCTCATTACTTTTGGATACTGCTTTTCTTTATCCATCCATTATACATCCATTCCTTATCTATAAATTGATTGAGAGTCAGGACATACCCCGAACAGGTTCCCAGTCAGTCACAAGCCTGTCACACTGATATTTATGCCTACATGTAATTTTGTGTCCTTGGAGTAGGTCTGTGTGCGTATGTCTAGGAGAGGCGGGGATGATGTATGCCATCTCTTGTGGATGCATTTAACATGTCTCACTTTTTAATTTGCCAATTACACAGCAAGCAGGAAGCCAAAGTGTGGGCCATGTTTTATTAATGTGCCATTGAGTGCACAGGTGGGAGCAGGCAGGCAGGTGGGGGGTGGGGGGATGTCTGGTATAGACCACCCCCACCCCTAGTCTGGCCTAACTGGCACTATGATATTTTATTTTTGTTTAACAGCAAGAGGTTAGACATTTCTACACAGTTTGTACACACACACACACACACACACACACACACACCCTTGTAGTCGTCACTTACAGGGTCTGGACATAGACTTACATTAATTTCCAGGAGACTTAACCAGAACCACTACTTGCCTAACCCTAAACTTTACCCACACTTTAACCAAAGCAGACACTTGCTCTAATCTTACACTCCATCATTTTTGTAAAACTTGATGAATTATTTGTGGGGCCCAGCCTCTGGTCCCCACAAAGCAGTGTGCTCCCAGTGTTCTGTCCCCGCAGGTATATAGAAACAGGCCACAGTCTTAGAAATTCAATTTTAATCTATCATCTTAAGGTGGTTTTCATACATTTTGTGTGTAGTTTCTTACCCTGTCACGCTGTCAGTGTTATTGCTATGTAGTGTGTGTACAGTATGTTCAATAGAAGCTGAAGTTAAAAAATATTAATATATTCAATGATTTATAAAAATACATATTTGCATTATGTACAAGAATGGGCAGCACAGCGGAGCGGTGGTTAGCGCAGTTACCTCAGAGCAAGCAGGTTCCAGGTTTGAGCCCAGGCCGACCTGGGGCCTTTATGTATGGAGTTTGCATGTTCTCTCTGTGCCTGCGTGGGTGCTCTGGCTTCCTCCCACAGTCAAAAAGACATGCTGCTTAGGTTGACCAGTGACTCTAAATTGCCTCTAGGAGTGAGTGGTTATTTGTCTAAGTGTCAGCCCTGTGATAGACTGGCAACCTGTCCAGGGTGGAACCCACCTTTCGCCCAGTGTCAGATAGGATAGATTCCAGCCCCCCCCCGACGCTATTCAGTAATAAGATGGATGTACTAAAACTCTATACAAAGCAGTACAGCACCAGTGGGTGGTGATCACCCATCTGATGTTATTATTATTTAAGTGTAACCTCCTTGAAACACTGGGATCGAAGTCTAGAGTTAGCAAGGGTTAATTTTACTCAGAGTTACATTTTGCTGCCTCTCTGTTGCTGGTCTGGTATCTGCCTTTGCACAAAGGCTATAAAGCACAAGCTGGCCAGGACGGGCTGTTTTGTTATTTCTATGGGGTGGCAGCTTGCTTGGCAGATCTGGCCGGCTTATTGGCACGACCCAGAGGCAACATGGGGCAATGCTTGCTCTGTGTTGCTGCTGAACTAAGATAAAAACAGCATAGGTCTTTACGACAAGCACATACACAATGGACACACAATGACACTTGCTGTTTAGAAGCATACAGTATTGGGAATGTGTTGGGAGCACAGAACTGACCATTAAATAGCCATTCAGCTACATTTAGCAGTATATTTGTGTGTTCTGAACCTGTTTTTCACTGTGGTCTGTGGACTCAAAACATTTGGTGGTAATTAATGCCAAATGGCCTAACAACAAGAGTGAAAACACCTTAGGTCTGCTTTTATTTTCAACTGAAGTATATTATATAGTCATTATACATCAGCCGCAATTAGCTGAGGATAATAATATGTTTTTGTTTTTAATTGTAATAAATGGTCTGATGTAATAATGAACTGCAACATTTCCATATCATGAATTATATTGCCTCTTCATTTAGTGAAATGTCAAATACTTGTGTTAACACCTTGCAAACCAAGTTGTTCACATTCCTGAACCTCTCAAGTAAAAACATTTCTATGTGATCTATGCAGTATAATATTGCACTCTAAGCAGGATGATACTTTTATTTTTACTGTGCTGACAGTGTGTCAACCTCATAGCCTATAGAAGTAATTTAGCTGAATGTATTACTCTGAGTATTTGAATTTCTAAGTGTGTGAGCAGTGAGTAGAGTTTACCTTTATTTCTTCGAAAGGGGGAGTTGTCTCTGGGCTGCGAGGGAAAAACACCAGTGCTAGAGTGATGGTGAGAGCCAGCAGGAAAACAGGAATAACTCCTAACCTGACAAGACAAAACACACAGTTAAAACAAAGACAGTGAGATATGGATTCCCAATACTGACTCTAAGTAAGACCAGTAGTAAACATAGGGCTATCTGAGGATAATGCCATTATGAAGTACCAATCAAAACAATGGCATTCCTTATTGTGGTTTTAAAATCCTGTTATATTTTCAATGACGTAAAGAGCTGTGTTTCATCCCATTTAAACTTTACTATAACTACACCTTACACAGATACAGTGTTTGCTGTCACTGTGCATTCTACAATAACATAAACCTTTACTAATTTTTAGCAGTATGAGGGTCTGATCCAGTATTAATGAGCAGGGACTGCAAGGTGCATGGTCCTGGCAATCAGTTAGTATCTTTTAACAGTATAATACGATGAGATTAATAAAAAGAATTTAAGAGTCAGGTTGCTGGTCCCTTGGATTGAAAATAATATTTGAGAGAGTTGCAAATGTTCTGAGAGACTCTGGTAAATTCAGTGTTTAAAAACTGTTTAATATGTTTTTTTTCTTATCTGGAATGAAGTCATGTACCTGCTAGAACACATCTTATGATGTTTTCGATGTCTCTGCCTATGTGATATGTATGAGCCGGTTTCTATTAGCATTTTACTGTAATACAGGGCTATCTGGCTTTTTCATAACCGGGTTTGTGAAAGGAGTGCGTGTAGGTGCTGCTGTCTCTGTTCTCACTCACTTTGCTGCTCCAGACGCTCTCAGCAGCAGCACCCCAAACACAAGTGCGGCAATCCAGACAACAGCAATGACGAAAACGCCCGTGCCGACTTCCAAAACGGTACTTGCCATTTTTGCTAAGCAAGTTGTTTCAGGATAGTTTCCTTCTCGGAGAGAGGGCTGTTAATCAGTGCAGTGGGTAAATCACTATTTTACGGCCCATGTTTGTGCTATTATTAAGCAACAGTATAACAGTTAGTAAAGTGGGTGTTTAGCTAATGTTACAATAAGAGTTAGCGTTAGCTGCAACTGCCCCGCCATGTGTGGATAAGTTAGCGATGACTGCTAGCGCTCCTATGCCCAGACCGACAGTTGCATACTTAATGAAAAATGTTTTCTGACTTTCGATACGCAGTTTTGATTCTATAAAAATGCCTCATTGCTGACCACAGCCATCCTTTATCTAGGAGTAGTCAGTTCAATCAATAATTTAAGCCAAGGATGTAAGCTCTCTCCATGGCGTCTTCTGCTTCCTGGTAACAACAAACTACCGTATAATTGGATGAATGAGTCCAAGCATAGCCAATCAAATGCTCCCTTACTTACACACGAAGAGCGCGTCGCAAAGCGTGAGAGACCCTCAGCAAGCTCATATACACCGATCGGGCATAACATTATGACCACCTGTACATCTGTATGCACGTCAGTGCAACACTTCTGCCTTAGCATTTATGTTTATGAAGCTCAGAATTTTTCAGTTTTTGGTGAGATTGTCATAAATGTACAAATTAAATTTATTGTTCATTATTGAGGTCATAGTTACAAGTGGTGTTGTACTGGACTACATTATATTCAGAGGTGTTCCTAATATTCTGAACCTCTCATGTATGTCAATGGCCAGGACAAAAATATACAGACACCTCTGGCAAGGGTTTGGTTCTATTACAGCATTCAAAAGAAAGTAGGAGAAAGGGGAGGAAGTACTGAAAATAGGAATGAAGAAGAGAGGGAGTTATTCAAAAATGCAGTTTTAAGCGGTGGAATGAACTTTAGTTTACCAGAGGTGTTGGGAAAAAGATCAGGGGTTATAGGATACAGAGCACTACTTAGGTTTTTAGAGAGTACAGGCTTAAGCAAGATGATATAATGTGAACTGAGTGAGGTTATTTTGTTATAGTAGGGGCCGTTCTGATCCAACCTCCAGTCTAGAAGGTGACAGTAATGCACCTAAAGCTGTTTGCCATCTGCCATATCAGGGGTTATAGGATACAGAGCACTACTTAGGTTTTTAGAGAGTACAGGCTTAAGCAAGATGATATAATGTGAACTGAGTGAGGTTATTTTGTTATAGTAGGGGCCGTTCTGATCCAACCTCCAGTCTAGAAGGTGACAGTAATGCACCTAAAGCTGTTTGCCATCTGCCATTAAACAATAGAAGAAGAAGAAGATTTAAAACAAGAGATTTGGTAAAAAGAAATGCTCTTTTTCTGTTTTGTAAAGAGGTGAAAGCAGATCTGTTATTTCTGCAGGAATGTCATTCATGTCCAGATAACTTGAAACTATGGAAGAATCAATGGGGCAATAAAATTTGGTTTTCACATGGCACAAATCATTCTGCAGGGGTATCTTAAATCCTTAAAGACAGATTTAAAGTTGACTCAAGAAATGATTCTAATGGCCCCTAGACTTTGTTTGTCATTCAATTTCCAGAAAACCACTTTGTATTAGGTAATGTGATAACCTTCCTACATTGAACTCAATGCTACTTGACAAATTAGAGGAACAGATCAACTCACTTCTAGACAAATATCCTGAGGCCAAAATGGTGATAGATATATATATATATGTATGTATATAAAATTATTCCCCACTCGCCCCCCCACTGCGCCACATCTTAGCTGTTCCTAGCACTGCACTCTTCTGGACAGAAATCTCAGATGTTGTTCCTGGGATCTGTTGGAGCCACTCTCCCAGTTTGGGG